AAAAAAATTTAATAAAAAAAAGAAATGCTAAACAAGTCTCTTTCTATTGTCTGACTATGGCTGTGTGAACATTTTGGTACAGTATTTTGCTTTGTCTTTTCAAACTGCCCTTTGAAATCTTCTGTTCTTTAGGCAATTCTTGCCTTTTGTTTTGATTTCTCAACATTCTAAAGTAATCTTCGGAGTCTCTTCTGAGAACCATTTTGGGTTTGTTTTTGTTTTTTAATTTCTTCCTTCATCTTTGTAATAACTGTTTGCTTTCTTCATGGGTGATACCTTTTATGTCATCCCACAACTTATCTGGTCTAAGACTCAAGATTTCTAGAATTTGCTCCTGCCAAGTACATTTGGATCTATGAGCTCACGGGTACCAAGGAAAAGAGGCCTGAGAAACACTGGATATGGCTTCCTAGGAAACACAGAGGTTACACTACAACTTAGGTAAATCAGAGAGTATGTAGTGAAGACAATTAGATGAGCACACAGGTTGAGGGAAGCTGTGGTGGGTGGAAGAGACAGAAAGGACTAGACTGCCTCTGGTGAAGAGCAATTGGAAAGGGGCTGAAAAATTCTCTGCACATAGGGAAAGAAGGATAAAGCACAATGTGATTGAGAGCTGGTAACTTTGGGGGATAGTCAACAAAGGGCCAAGACCAGAAAGAGTAACACTGCAATCCAAGCAGTTTGAGTTCTATTAATATTACCCTCCTCATGGGTATACTGGCTGTATGTATTCCTCGAGTATTTATCATTAATGTATGATTAGGTATTATATGTATGACAAGTAACAATCTGGAATAAGACATTACAGGTGAACTGAGGGAGGGGAAGGGAAGGAAGGAAAATATACAACAATGATTCAATGGAAACCTAAACTTTCTGTAAACTTTTATTAAAATAATCATCTTAATAAAAATGTATTGATGCCTTTGAGTTGTAGTGCTGGAGAAGAATATTGAATATGCCATGGACTGCCAAGAGAACAAACAGGTTCATCCTGGAAAGGGTAAAACCAGTTTGTTCCTTGGAGGCAAGGATTTTGAAACTCTGTCTCACATATTTTGAGCATGTTGCCTTTTAGGGACCAGTCCTTGAGGAAGGACATCATGCTTAGGACATTAGAGGGTCTGGATGAGATTCATTGACACAGTGACTGTGGCAATGGGGGCAGGTGTATCAGAGATGGTAAGACTGGCTCAGGATAAGGCAGGATTCAGAGCTGTTGTTCATAGAGTCACTATGAGTCATAGTCAACTTGACGGCACATAACAAAAACAGCACAACAATATCATTAAAAAGAAGTTAATTTATCAAAAACACTACTGTAAATGGTTTCACTTTTCCCAGGGAAGGCACAGGAAAGAAGCATGAAGTGAGAAATCTTATCTCTAAAGCTTTTGGGTTCTTGGGAACCTGTGGACCTGGTGTGTAATTTTTAGTTCCCTTGTAGACATCATTTAGAGCCTATAACATCTCTAAAGTTAATACATGCATAGGAGTGCTCTTAACAGCACTAACAAATGATCATAATTAATAACCAAAGACTTATAAGTTTCTAGACAATATCACAGTTGGTTCTCTTGAAGCTCTAGGGAATAGATAACATTATTTTTATTCTTGTTTTACAGAAGTAGAAATCAATTCTCAGAGCATTTTAGTGATTTTTTTTTTTATAAGACCACGCTGTGGTACAACTGGAAGTTGAACTGAGGTCTGCTCTTAATCACTGCACTCCATTACCTCTAAGATAGAGGCCATGTTCATGTCATACTACCTGCCCCCAGACACACACTGGGAAGTTGCTTGAAAAAATAGTCTTGCTTTGTTGGTGGTAACTGTTGGTGTATTTTTTTTCCTGATAGTGCTACAGTCTGTCAACTTTCTGGATTTCCATGATTGATGCATTCTACCAGAGCCTCATCTGTTTCTTTATCCCTTACCTGGTAAGTGTTCTACACCCCCTCAAACCTTAGAAATCACAGGTGGAAGTTCTCCTGTTTATACATGATCTTGGGCTTATTGTGTCTTTCTGATGAAAACTTCCAAATAAGTGGCTTGTGGGAAATATATAAGTAAAAGTAAAGACTCCACCCAGATACCTTAATTGTTATCTACTCTTGAAGACTGGAAGACACTTTTACACTGGATTGTTCTTTCCTTACTGTAAAAAGCTGGAATTGTCATATTGCTCTCTTTTATATTCTCTATTTTGCCAAAGTCCTCACCACTCCCCTTCATCTTATACCTGCATTTCATTCATTGACTGTTTTCCTTCTTCTTCACTGAACTCTTTTTTATGCATCGGTTTGTGCGTCCAAAGTTAAAACAGCAAGATTTTAGGATACCAACCCTGATAAAAGGGACACTGCATTATCTGAAATAAATAGCAGTAAAATTGGTATCAAGGGATTTCAACACCACTTCAGTTTGCTTTGCCAGTTTGAAAAACAAAAAGTTTAGATAGTGAAAGGCTACTTCTATTTCTCGTACCACAAGGCCAGAATGTGGCTACTTGCCTTCAGGTCCCAGCCTCTGCCCACATGTTCCTTTCTAGTCAGCAACAGGAGGAGTGGAGGGAGGTGAGCATCTGGTGCTTCATTTGAATGTTCTGGTTTACAACCCTACCTGACCTCTTCTTTTATCTTTCCTACTTCCCCTTTTGTCTGTGTTCTTTTGCCCCAAATTTAACATACAAGAAAATTTGGAGTTCTACAAACTCACCATACTCACCTTCAGTTCTGGCTCCTACCCTTCCACTCCCACTTTGACTAATTTACCCCACATCAGGTTAATAGATGACCATGAAGGTGGTAACGGAAGTTCACTCTAAAATTAGCACAGTAAATCCTTGAGTAAAGGTGTTCAGTAAATCCTTCACTCACGTCACAACAATTTTGGAGCACCCATCTGTGGTTCCTCTCGTAGCCTGTTCTGAAGTACTTCAGTCTTCTTGACCATGGGCTTTTCCTTGGGTCACTTCCACATCGTAGCAACTGAGTACATTCTTCGGTCTTTTTCTCCTCCCTTGAAACTTGGCTTTAGAGATGTTCTGTAATCATCTGTCAAAGCCAAAGCCTTCTCCCTCCATGGACACATGTGACATTGCCTGTTCTTCTTTGTAGACCTACAGGAATTCTGATATTGACGTCTTCACCTTTGGAACACCCATCAATACCATCGCCCTTGCTACAATTCTGTTGTACCAGGCAATGGAAATGAAGACTTGGGTAAGGGCTACAAGACTCCTTTGGCTTAAAAACTGAGTTCATATTAATTGATTCTCTCCCTATTTAACATTTATTTCACTTTATATTATTTATTCACTCAATAAATACATACTAAATCGGTGGCCTACCTGCACAGAGAAGCAAGTGGTATAGAAGATAAAATTCCTGGCCTCAATGTGATTATCACCTAACAAGGGTGATAAAAATGAACATATTTGAAACAATAAGACAATATTGTAAAAAGAGGTATTGTTGATAAAAATTTCTAGGATATTTCAGAGAAAAAGAAGCATTAGAAGACTACAGAACAGTCTCACTAATGAATATCAGTGTAAACAATTATTAAGACAATATTGACTGGCAAATCAACTCAATGGTGCCTTAAATACAATAAACCATAACATCTCAATGAATCGGAATTGACTTAATGGTACCCAAGAACAATCTTAACTTCCTAGGTCTGCCATATACAAATCCAAAAAAAATAGGTGGTATTCAACAACAGCAGTTTATTTTCCTCTCTGTGTTGGACTTAAAGGAAAATCTTACCTTGTTTCTCACTGTGTCTGATAGCCCCAGGCATTTCTTGGTGTTTCTTGGGATTTTTACATGCTATCTTTCCTCTGCTGCCCTCAGGCCTGGTTTTAATTGGTTTTGATGAAACATTCTTCTAAGTGGTATAGAACTGGTCTGTCCATTTGCTGTACAGAGATAACTCTAGTTGCTATGATGCTAAACACTGTGACACTGATGTGTCAAATGCAATAATGGTTACCCATGGTGGACAGTCTTTGGTGGAACTCCCCCATTAAAGCAAGCTTAGAAGCAGGAGTGACATCTATTTCCAAAATAGTTTTCCTCTGGAAACTCTATGAAGTTGGAAAAGTGATGAAAGTTATACAAGTGTTCAAGTCTTTCCTTCATAGGGTCGCTATGAGTCATCTATGATGCGACAGCATTTAACAAGAACAACATCTTTCCTCTATATATAACTCTTTTTATAAGATACCACTCAAACAATATCAGGGCCCATTCTATTCTGATATATTGTCATTAACTTAACTGGCAATTATCTGCATGGGGGAACCCCATTTCCTGAAAGAAAATCACATTCACAGGAGCTAAAAGGTATCATAATTTAGGATGGTGGAGAAACACAATGCAGTCCATAGCAATGACATAAGAACGTTCTTTTATATGTTCCCAGTAGACTATAAACTTGTACCACCGCTCTGCAGAAATGTTAAAAATAACTAGAAAAGGTTAAAAGGCTCATATTCTATGACCCAATTTCACTTTTGAATATATAGTTTGATAATTCTCTTACACATCTATCCAAGAATGTTCATAGCAATGTTGTTCTTTATAGAAAAACAATTTGAAACAACCTAAGTCTTCATCAGTGAGACTAAAAAGAAACTGTGGCATATTTACACAATGTTATTCTTGTTGTGTACTGTAGAGTCAGAATGGACCCATTGCTGACCTTCCAGCAGGTTTTCAAAGGCACTTAATCACATTAGAGGATATTGCCCATCCTTCTTCTGAGGAAAAGTTGGTGGTCTCAAAGCTTGTGCCTTTGGGATTGACTGTTGCTTCTTGCCACTAGATACCAGAATTCTCTAATCCACACACAATTGTTGTTTTTGCTGTTGATTGCCATCAAGCCAAGCCTGGCTCATAGCAACCCTGTGAACAAAAGGCTTGAAGCCCCTCTACAACTATCGACATTTATCAAAGTTCATAGAATTTCCAGAGACATGTTGTTTAGGAAGTGGAATTCACACCCTAGAATCCCTAACATGAATATACTAAATTGCAGCTATCAGGATAGATAAAACTAAAAGCGCAAAGATAAAGTGAAATAGTATACCCGTATACATGTAAGTATAGAATAGTCATAAGACTAGCAAACACTCAAATTGTGTTCAAAATTGAAAAAAAAGCACATTTGTGGGTGGGGGTAGAGAGAGAGGAGAGAGGAGAGAGGAGAGAGAGGGCTTAAATGTACCTGTAAGACTTACTCTTTTAGGAAAATATGAAGCAAATGCGGGAAAAGGTTAAAACTAACAAAGCTGTACATCTGGTTTAGGAGATTTATTGCCTATGAGCTTGAAATAACTGAGCCCAACCCACGACTAGGCATTTGGTTCTGACTCACTTTGGTCCCTCATTAGGCTTCTGAGTTTGTAAGTCTTTACGAGAGGAGATTGTCCAGCTTTCTCCCGCAGAACAGCTGGTAGATTCGAAATACTCCTCTTTTTTTTTTTTTTTCGAACTACTCCTCTTTTGGTTAGCAGCCCAATCAGTTATTTATTTAAACCCTGGGACTCTTTAGGCTTAGAATTCAACTTCATACTAATTTGATTGCATTTTTCAAAATTATCCCAACATATTTCTCAAAAGGATACTGTTCTTTAGTACTCTCTTAGCTATAAGATTTTTTTTTTCTTTAACCTTTCAAAATGACCCTAGCGTGTAATTAGGCCTCAATTATATATTAAAGATTAGTCATCCATTCTACTTTCTCAAAGCACTGCATCTCTCTGCTTGTCTTCACTCATTTTCCAGCATTACTAGTTCAGCTAATGCATCTCTGGACCAGCCACCCCAATAGTTACTGATAATTTCCTAGTGCCTTTGGAAAAGGATTCAGCTCCGCAAACTATTCTGAAAATGCCTTTCCATTTTTTTACTGTGCTTTCAGAAACCTTTATCTTCTGTGTAGAAATCTAACATGAACTCTAATAGCTATGTCACTTCCCAGAGTCCCCAGACCAAAGGAGTGGAATATGTTTAGCTAACTGCTTTGTTCTTCAGGAGCAGAAGTTTGAATATCCAGTCACTGCTTTCACTGAAAACAACTGCAGGCATTGAGAGTGAGAGGTAGGACTCCTCAAATGTTAAAGAGCAAAGCCTTCGGACAGGGAGATGGATTTCCAGAGAAGTAAGCTAAGCCAACGCTCTGTTTCCTTGAGGGTATTTGCAATCTTGCCTGATACAAACCTTATTTTTGGCAGATTTAGTGAGTGAAAAGTCCGGAAACCAAACCCCACACTCCCAAAGTGGAGGCCTAATAGATTCTTCCCATATTAAATTGTTGGTGAGTGTCGTTGAGTCAACTCTTGACTTCCTGCAACCTTACACACAACAGCTTAAAGGCTTGCCCAATTGTGTCAGTCCATCTCGTTAAGCTCTGGTGGCATAATATATGCTACACTGCTAAACTAATGGTTGGAAGCTCTATTCCACTAGCCATGTAACAGAAGAAAGGTAGGCAATCGCTTCTTATAAAGATTTGCAGTCTCCAAAACCTGATAGAGGGTCATTATGAGTCAGACTGGGCTTGATGGCAGATCATTTTCTATTAAACTGTGACCACAGTAATGAGAACACATTCAGGAGCAAAATAAACCTAAAGGTGGACCTACCTATAAATGACTCCAGCAGGGACTGCAGAAATTGTCCCCAGTGCGCTGAACAAAAGACCTGTCCTGGGAGATTGTGACCAGGGGCTGGCTTCACAGCATATTTGTAGTTCAGGATAACAGTGCCCAAGGGTATTTGCAAAAAATAAAAAGTAGTCCACAAATTCTCTCTGCAGAAGAACATCCTCTCCCCAAATCTCAAATTGTCTCTACTAATAACTTTTTCACAGGAAATAAACAGTACATGTTCAAAAATAACCAGCTTAACAAGGAAAAAAGAATCCAGAGTGAGAATCAACCCTAAAAACATTGGAAACTAATAGCTCAGATACTGGAATTAACAGATAGAAGGCATTAAAAAGCTAAGTTTAAGGAAATTAAGAACAAGCTTAAAAATATCTGCGGGGACTTCTAAACACTACAAAGAAACCTAGTAGATTCAAGAACAGACCAAATAGAGCATCTAGATTTTTTTTTTTAAAAAAAGCTAATTGAAATTTAATAGTTGATTTAAAAGCAGATGCAACACTGATGAGGGAATAATTAGTAAATTTGTTAAAGCAATTCCGTATATACAATAGAGATGTAAAACAATGGAAATTATGGGAGAAATATTCAGAAATATTAGCAAAGTATATCTCAAAAGGTCTCCTATACAGTTGATGAAAGTCCCAGAAGGAAAGGAATAGGAATGAGACAGAAACATATGAGGAAATAAAAAAAGGAAAATATGCTGAGAATGTAGATACAAGAGGGACAACAAAACTCAATCAAGATTTAAAAAAAAAAATCCATAGTTACCATATTGTAGGGTAACTACAGATCATGAAAGGCAAAATTAAAATTCCAAAAGCAGCCAGATTTTAAAAGGAAAATTTATTTGTAAGGAAAACATACAAATGCCAAACAGTGAAAAGTTTGTTTGTTGTTGTTATTGTGTGCCATCGAGTCTTTTGTGACTCATAGCGACCCTATGTACAAGAGCCCTAAACGCCGTTCTATCCTGTGCCAACCTCACTGTCTCAAACACATTCATTCCCACCATGCAACTTACAGAATCGATCCTTCTCATCGAGGGTCTTCCTCTCCTGCACCGTCCCTCCACTCTCCCAAACATGATGTCCCTCTCCAAGGACCAGTCCCTCCTTGCAACATGTCCAAAGTATGTCAGACAAAGCTTCAGAATCCTTGACTCCAGGGAACATTCTGGCTTCACCCTCTCCAGGACAAACTTGTTTATTCTCCTAGCAGTCCATGGTATATTCAACACTCTTCTCCAGCACCACAACTCAAAGACATCAATTCTCTTTCTATCATCTCTATTCACTGTTCAACTCTCCGATGCATTGCACGTAATTGCAAAGACTATAGCCTGGATCAGGCGCACCTTAGTCTCCAGCCTGACATCGTTGCTCTTTAGTACTCTTGAGAGGTCCCTCACAGCTGACTTTCCCAATGCAATTTGTCTCCTGATTTCCTGGCTGCTGTTACCAAGAGTGTTGACTGTGGAGCCAAGCAAACTAAAACCGTTAACTATCTCAATCTCTTCACCATCCATACTGATGATGCCAATTGGCCCAGCAGTGAGAATCTTTGTTTTCTTTATATTGAGCTTCAATCCATATTGAAGACTGCATCCTTGACCTTCTGTAGCAAGCGCTTCAGGTCCTCCTCAGTTTCAGTGAGCAGGGTTGTGTCATCTGCATAACACAGGTTGTTGACGACTCTTCCACCAATCCTGATGCCACATTCCTCCTCGTACAACCCAGTGTCAGACTGAAAAGGTGTGCTGGAAAATAGTGGAATGCTATATTGAATGTTCTAAAAGAAAGTTACTGCCCAGCAAGAGCTCTATAACCATCAAAACTGTATTCTAAGAACAAGAGCTAGTTAAAGCCATTTTCAGGAAAGCTAACACAACATACATTATTAGCAGATCCCACACATACAGGAATGATAAAGAATGTACTTCAGACAAGAGAAAAGTAACCTCAAATGAAGACGCGGAGATCCAGTAAGGAATGAAGGCATGGAAAGTAGTCAACATCTAAGTCTAAGTAAATACTGACTTTATGTGTAATTACAACAATGACTTACAGGATTCAAAAGTTGACAGATTTAAAATACATAGCACTAACATACCAGTTAGGAAGAAAGTTATAAACTTTCCATCTGTGGTAAATTAAAATTGCTTATTTTTATTATATATAACCATGAAAAGGATAAAAGTGTATTTAATATAAATAAACTGTATCCTTTTCAAACTAGTAAAAGGAGAAAATAAAATTATACCAGACAGTCAAAAATTTTAAAAGGAAACAAGAATGGAAAGACAAACACATAGAAAAGGCAGGACAAAATAAGATCAGACCACAGAACACTACACTGCTTTGAAAATTAATATACTCCAGCCACATGGGGAAAGATAGACTCAATGCACAAAAACTATAGAGAAAATAAAATAAAGGGGGGAAAGTCACTCTTGAAAATAGACTAGATAAGGAAGCATAGGTAGTAAAACTACAAAGAATACCATGGAAATTATTATTACCAACATCAGGAGAGTGGTTGGCCCCAAGGAGAGAGACAGGATGTACTTCTGGGAAGAAAACCATCTTCAATTTATTTGTGTTCAAATCATGTTCACACATTCCTGTTGTAGTTATTGTGTGCCATCGAGTTGCCTGTGACTCATAGTAACCCTATGTACAACAGCTCTGAACCCTACCCTATCTGGAACCAATCTCACAATCTCCCACAGACCTAATCTCATTTCTCCAGTCAGTGAGTCAACCAATCTCAACCTGGGTCTTCCTCTCCCATGCCTTCCTTCCACCCTTCCAAGCATGATGTTCTTCTTCAAGGACTGGTCCCTTTTGGCCACATGCCCAAAATTCTTGCCTCCAGGGAGCAGCTTGGTTTTACCATCTCCAGGGCTGATATATTTATTCTCCTGGCAGTCCATGGTATGTTCAAGACTGTTCTCCAGCACCACAACTCAAAATCATCGATTCTTCTGCTATCACCCTTAGTCATTGTGCAGTTTTCTGATGCATAGCAGTAGTGAAGACCATGGTCTAGATAAGGTGCACCTTAGTCTCCAGACTGAATTGTTGCTCTTCTGTACTCTAGAGAGTACAGAAGCAAGGCTTCTGACAGCAAGACTTTCCCAGTGCACTTTGTCTTTTGATTTCCTGATTGCTGGTGCTAAGAGTGTTGATTGTGGAAACAAGCAAGCTGAAGTTATTAACAATCTCAATATCTTCTCCATCCTTCATGAAACTGCTATTGGCCCAGTGGTGAGAATCTTGAGCATTTGCTTTATAGAGATCCATTAAACTGCACACTTGGGTGAATTTTTAATATTTACATTGTGTGTTGTTGTGTTGTTATGTGTCATTGAGTCGCCTGTGACTCACAACTACTGAATGTACAACAGCCCTGAAACTTGTTCTATCCTGTGCCAACTTTACTGTCTCTGACACGCCTACCCTCATTACTCCAGTCACTGCATCAATCCATCTCATCAATGGTCTCCCTCTCTTTCTTCATCCCTCCACCCTTTCAAGCATGGTGTCCCTCTCCAAGGACCCTCCTTGCAACATGTCCAAAGTATATTAGACGAAGCCTCAGAATCCTTGCCTCCAAGGAGTAGCCTGGCTTCACCCTTTCTTGAGCAAATCTATTTGTTCTCCTGGCAGTCCATGGTATATTCAACACTATTCTCCAGCATCACAGCTCAAAGGCATCAGTTCTCTATCATCCCTACTCATTGTCCAGCTCTCTGAGGCATAGCAAGCAATTATGAAGCATATGGCCTGGATCATATGCACCTTAGTCTCCAGAGTGACATCATTGCTCTTCAGTACCCTGAAGAGGTTTCTGACAGATGACTTTCCCAGTGAAATTAATCTCTTGATTTCCTGGCTGCTGGTATCAAAAGTGTTGATTGTGGAGCCAAGCAAACGAAAGCTGTTAACAATCTCAATCTCTTCACCATCCATCATAATGTTGCCAATAATCCCAGTGGTGAAAATCTTTGTTTTCTTGATGTTGAGCTTCAATCCATATTAAAGGCTGCAATCCTTGACCTTCTTAAGGAAGCACTTCAGGGGCTCCTCAGTTTCAGCAAACAGGGTTTTGTCATCTGCATAATACAGGTTGTTGATGAATCTTCCTCCAATCCTGATGCCACATTCCTCCTGGTCTGCATGATCTGTTCTGCATATGAACTGAAAAGGTATGAAGACAGAATACATCCCTGGCATACACCCCTCCCGATTGTGAACCATGCAGTGTCCACTTGCTCTGTTCTGACGACTGCCTCCTGGTCCAAGCATAGGTTTCACATAAGAACAATCAAATGTTCTGGGATTCCCATTCTTCTCAGAGTCAGCCATATCTTGTTGTGATCCACACAGTCAAATGTCTTTGCATAGTCAATGAAACAGATAGACATTCTTCTGGTATTCTCTGCTTTGTGTCAAGATCCATCTAACATTCTCTATAGTATATCCATAGTACCATGACCTCTTCTAAATCCAGCCTGCACATCTGGCAGTTCTCTGTTGACATAGTGTTCCAAATGTTTTTTTATAATTTTCAGCAGAGTCTTGTTTGCATGTGATATTAATGATATTGTTCAATTACATTAAAATAAAATAAAAGCTGTTTAAAGCAGTTAGGTAAATGGTGTACTTGCACTTCCCATGATCTAAACTATTCCTTCAACACTGTCTGTCTTCGTTGCCTCCACAGACCATTATCCACGGACTCCTCCTCGTCGGCAGCTTCCTGATGTATTTTGTGGTCTCCCTCGTGTACAATGCCACCTGTGTCGTATGCAACAGTCCCACCAATCCCTACTGGGTGATGGAAGGCCAGCTCTCAGATCCCACTTTCTACCTCGTCTGCTTCCTCACACCGGTCGTGGCTCTTCTCCCAAGGTTTGTGTGAGGGGATTGTTTTCCTCCTAGCATGACTGATATCTCCTTAAAAACTGTTTTATACATTTGGTCATCCATTCACCTATAAAACGTGCTGAACCCTTGGTGTAACAGAGAGAAGACATGGGTCCCATCTTTGAGGGATTAAAAATCTAGTGAGGAGAAAACATAGTCCCATTGATTCTTGTAATAGATCCTGGTACATGTTGCAATAAAGGGGTACGAGGAACATGCTCTTTGGGGTCCAGGCTGAAAAACAGCAAAACCATGGAAATCAGATAAGACGTTAGTCAGGGTGACAAAAGTTGATTGGACATTCTGAAGCCATGTACAATGCTGTGCACATTGCAGATGCTCAATAAAGTAATTACTGATAACTTAAAAAAAAACTGTTTTATAACTTAGGAGTCAGGAGTTCGTCTCCTGCTGGGATCCTTGAGGGTGTGGTTTTAGAGACAGAGTGTAAGACCTGAAAAATGATTTATTTGGAGACAAGTAACATGGGCTTTCGTTTCAAGTCATCCAAAGGATATCAAAGTCACCACATCTGACATGACTCCAATTACATCTGTAAAGTGCAAGTATTTCCTACCTGACTGTCTTAGAAATATTCTCGTAGGATTAGATATTCTTTTGAAAAGCACTCTGGGTTGATTTATTTTGTTCTGTTTTGTTGTTTGTTTGGGGTGTTGTTTTTTTTTTGTTTGGTTTGATTTCTTTTTACAAGCTCAAGACACTCTAATGTCTACAGAAACAAGTAATTAACTACAACAAACCAAATGAAGTAGAGACACTGGAGGGGAAGAATGTCTCAGTTTTACCTTATCGTTGCCATAAGAAAAGATGAAGTCTAGCTTCCCAGGGCTTCAGATTTTTCTCAGAAGTTCACAATTTGTATGAAATTTCCAACTTTTTAATAGAACTCAGATTTGTTAGAGAAAAGTTTTTAAAAACACAAATATTTGTGTAAGCCAAATAAATCACCCATGTCCAAGGCCTATTTCTGGTAGAAATCCTCTCCATTAGTTTTTTCTAGGAAAACAGCAACAACAATAATGTCCTGCTTCCTTTGGGAACTCACTCTTAGAACATGATTTCACACCAGCCTCTCATTTCACTCATTTCCTTTTTTTTCTCCATCTAAAAGTTGGACAGAACAGTGGTTCTAGGTCCACTTTTTCAATGTGCATCTGAAATCCTAAGAGAGGCCAAGGTATGTCCACAGCTCCACAACAAATCAACCTTGTCCAAAATCACAAGTCAATCTTCCATTCGACAGCCTTCACTGCTCCAGTAGGTGTAGGTGGGGAACTTGATAATGTTCCTGTGAATTAGATAGCCCCACCCAGTCGACACAGTCCAACCTCCTCACTTCTACAATCTGTAGTCAATAGGACATAGTGACATAGAACTTCTATCCTGGGCTAGAGAGAAGGTCATTCTCAGGCCTTGCTTCTTTCACTAAATCTGGCAGCTTATTTAGCCTAGTTCAGTTTCCTTCTCCTCTTCCTAAAGGACAGTGCTTCCTCGAGTCAAGAATGGTGAAACTCTTCCTATTGCCAAAGGCACCCTTTAGAGAAGATCTTCACTCTGAAACCTACAACGTCCCTTTTCAGCAGGAAGTATTTAAGAGAATACGCCATCCCCTTTTCCTTATGAATCAGGGTGAAGTCTCTCTCAGGGAGGAGTAATAGGGAATGGCAAAGGACGCACTGACAAAGGAGATTAATCAGAACTGGTTTTGACAAGCACTGTGGCAATGGGGAAAAAATGAGGAATGAACTGGGGAGGAGAGAAAATAGTACAACGATGAATGAATGGAAATCCAAAATCTCTCTAAATGTCCATTAAAATTAATAAAATTTTTAAAAAAAGAATGGTGAAACTCTCATATACTTTAGACATGCTGTCAGGAGGGTTCAGTCCTTATAAGAGAGATATCATGCGAGGAAAGGTAGAGGGTCAGATAAAGAGAAGAGCATTATAAAGATGGGTAGACACAGTGGCTGTCACAGCGGGCGCAAGTATATCAGATTGTGAGGATGGCACAGGACGGGGCAGGGTTCAGATCTGTTGTTCATAGGATCACTGGTACTCATAGATGACTCAATGGCACTTAACGACAACAAGGCACCTGAGAACCTTGGCATCTGATGTCGATTTCAAGGCTAAAGATACCAAGATGGCAGATACTGCTGGAGTTGGTGGATCCCATAAATATTAGCTGAGTTCTAAATGTATGCTGTGTACTTGGCCTCCCTGGTTTTTTGTGTCCACACTGTCTCTTCACTCTCTGCCTCCATCCCTGGGTTCTATCACCTCCATCACTTAGATTCTTATATTTCATGCTTTCCACTTCCCTGCTTTTGCTCATTGTTTCTTCTATTTCCATTGCATTTCCTAGGCAAAACCTCTTTACCTTCTACATCATTTCAGGCACGACCAATTTCAGAAGCTTTCTGTGACTTCTTCTTCCTGAGACAGGTCTTTCTTCATTACGTGTACCTCTCCAGTGGGTGTGTACCTCCCCCATGGGTTATTTTCCTTCCTTATCACATTTACCTTTATCTGTTTGTCATTGTCTGACCATGAACTACTTGAAAGAAGGAACATTCCATATCCTGTTATACAATAGACCACTGACTGAATTCCTCTATTCTGTATCTCATGTGGGAGTATAGAAAGAGGAATTATAAATCCCATATTCTTCATCTCAGCCTTGGGTGAAATGTATACTTATAGCCAAAGACTTCCAGGTTGAAGTAGTAAGTTGGGGTTTTTCTTTTTAGTGGCCGTGGAGCCAGCCCTCTGCTCATGGTGTCCCCATGTACAAAGTAGTAAGACACTACCTGGTCTTCCACTAACCCCATGATCAATTCTGGTTCATATGGATCATCATGGTTCGTAGAATTTTCCTTGGCTCACTCACCAGACCTTTCTTCCTAGTCTGTTCATCTGGAAGCTTAACTAAAACCTGTTTGGCATCAGAGTAACATGCCAGCCTCAAAAACAGATGAGTAGTGACTGCACATAAAGGGCACCGGTGGGGATCAAACCCAGGTCTCCCTCATGGAAGGCATGAATTCTACCACTAAACCATCACTGACTGATTCATAACAAGTAGGTGAGACTCAGTGGAAAGGATGGAAAGAGTGTTGACACAGTGCCTTGAAAAAACAGGCACTCTGCTTTACTCTGTATTGAACAGATGGGGGCAGTTTAGGAGAAGCTGGCAAATATTTACTTACTAGTTACCATAGCACATAAGTTAAATCTATGCTTGTTCTGCATTATCACCATACCGGTGAATTTTAGTTTCATTCTGTTTACTAAGAAAGGCAAAGAGATTTTCTGATAGTGAAAGGATTATTTGAGTAGTTCAAAGAACAGAACTTGTTGACTTGTAACCTTGAAACAATATTTGTTACCAAAATCTCTATGATAGAATGTTTGCCATAGTAAACTGTATTTGTTCATTTAAAGTACTAAGACTATGTTTGTTGTGAACCGTATTTACCATAATGGAGATTGATTTCACTTACCAGGCTCATAATAATTAGCCCACTATCTGTGACCTCACTAATCTTGGTCTATTTAATTCAGCAGGGTAAAAGGATTGTATAGCTTCTTTTAAAGTAAGAACACGGATCCATGTAAAATGTATTACAGAGAAAATGAAAGTGACTAACAGACTAACGTTAAATAACAATGATGTAGCATCCTGATTTGTTGCAATAGAAGGTACTGGTCCTTGGACCATCTTCCCTTAGCTTTTCTCAACACTCTTGGCTTTTTAACTCTTATCTCCAATGATTCCTTCTTTGTCTTTGGTGGCTCATGGATCTGAAATGTATCAAGCCTCGGTCCTACATCATCTTATAATTTTATATTTTCTCCACTGACATAGAAACCACTATTAGGAATTTAAGTATCTCTTTTTTTTCTCTAAAGGCAGTAATTTTGCTTTTGTGGTTTGCTTAGGGTTGTGTTTTCCTTTTACATTTATCTTCATTCATTTATATACCTTTTATTTTATAACATTACAATTAATTGGTGCCATTTATCACAACATCTTCCCAAATCCTCACATACCTTGCCTTTACCTCCACCCTAACCATTCATCCACATAACATCTAAAGCTTCACAATAAATTCACAGCCCAGTCTTCTATCTGAGTTCCAGGTATATGTTTCTAGTTACTATTTGATCATGTCTACTTGGGCGTGTTAAGTTGAAGGTGAGGCATCTGTAATTTACCTTGTGCTCCCACTCATCCTTCACCACCACCAGCCAAGAAATGTAGGTTTCTTACAGTTTCCATCAGTAAATGCTACCCTCTTAGAATCACAGCAGATGCCTCTTTGGCATCGTCTGCCACTTCATGCCCATAACAATCTTGTCTCAACGCTATGCTTGCTTTGTATGTATCATCTTCATCCAGTGTTCTCATTTTTATTGCCACAACCATGATATAAGCTTTGCCACTCTCACCCCTACATTACTCCAATTGTCTTCCCACGATTCTTATTCTGTTTTGCTATCATTACGTCAAAGCTGAATGTATTACCAATTCTTAACCTTTCAAGGGCCTCCCCACCCACCCACTGCCATCAAGTGAATTCTGACTCAGCAACCTCACAGGACCATGAACTGCTCCATGTAATGTTCTCAAAGTTGTACATCTTTATACTAACAAACTGCCTCATCTTTCTCCCACAGAGGAGCGGGTAGAATGGAACTGCGAAATTTCTGGTTGATAAGATCAATGTTTAATTCACTAAGCCACCAGAGCTACGCCAAAGGCTTCTAAGACCTTTAAAATAAAGGACAAAACCCAAAATGTGTTGGGCTTTCAGCTCTGGTACACTCTGGCCCTGCTGACCCCTCTGTCTCCTGCGGACCCACCTCATTCTCCACCCCCTGTATTTCAGACACCCTGTGTGGCTTTTGGTTATCACTCCCTTTGCCTGGTTACCTTGCGTATGTACCTCAGTCCTCAGCTTAAACACTCCTTCCTCAGGGAAATTTCCCAGGCCAGGTCAGCTGCCTGCCTCTCCACTCTGTCTAATTTTAACTACACTCACATGATACTTGAGAACAAGACACTGTTTGTCTTGTTCACAGCTTTATCCCTGGGGCCAGACCCGTTATTGGAACTTGATAAATATTTGTTAGAAAATGGATACAGGAGGAAGATGGAAGCTCAGAGGAAAGGTGTAAACAAGGAAATTCCAGTCTCCAAATGGGAAATGGAACCTTTCCTGAAATGCAAACACAGCTACCTATGTTGTCTCCCTGGGCAAAAAAGGAAGTAGCACAGGGAAGGTTCATGTAACTCCATGGATCACGGTGGTCCCCGGAGAGTGTCTTGTCTTTCAGCTTTTAGTCTGTGTGGGCATGATAGCCTCTCTTCTTAAAGAGGTTTTGAATTGGTTTGGTTTGATTTGGTTTGGTTTTACTAAAAAAAAAAAAAGTTGGGGGAATTAATTTTGGAAAAGATCTTAGCTACGATTACTTTTTAGGTAGAGAAGCTGAGACCAAGAGAGGGAATAAGAGTTACTCATTGACACAAATCTGATGTGTGCTTTCTCTGTATGCTGTTTTTATTTACTTTGTCATTTATTCCCTTTCAAAAGCTCCAAACGGAGAGATGATTCCAGGTACAGATTGTTGTTGTGATCATTTGGCATTGAGATGGCTTCAACTCCTAGTGACCCTCTGACTTCAGAGCAGCAGGTCTGAGCGTTGTCCTGTCCTGCCGCGCCCTCACAATCTCTGTGATGCTTGACCCCATTGTGTAGTCATGGTGTTAATCCATCTCCTTCAGGGTCTGCCTCTCTTTCTCTGACCTTCTACCTTTCCCAGCATGACGTCTCTATCTCAAAACTGGTTCCTCCTAAAAACATGTCCCAAATAAGTGAGTCAAAATTTCACCATCCTTGCCTCTAAGTAGCATTTTACTTGCATTTCCTTCAAGACGCATTTGTTCATTCTTTTGGCAGTTTATGGTGTATTCAATACCCTTTACCAACACCACAGTTCACATTAGTTTTTTGGTTTTTTGTGGGTTTTTTTTATCTTCCTTATTCATTGTCTAGCTTTCAGATGCCCAAAGTATAGAGCTTTCTAACTTCAGAGTCCTCCACAGGCTGTGTGCAGCTTGCCTAGAGGAAAGAACTCGAGCTTAGCCATAAAGGTGTTCATTAACTTCATAGGAGACCTTAAGACATTAACCCCATCACTTTGGACCTCAGTTTCTTCAAAAAGCAAAGAGTGATAATACAGCAACACTGAAGTCAGTATCACCTTTAGGCTCAAAAGCATTTATGTATTCAGAAACTACTTTAAAATTCTTAAGTCCCATGAAGGATAGGCATAACAAAGTTGGTAAATGTGCCCAAATTTGAATAAATTGGAAGCAAGATGGACTTCCTCTAATGTGGCAGATAAAGGCAAAACTTCTGGGCCCAGAACACTTGGTTCTGACGACAGCTCAAACATTGCTTAGGGAAAAATCACTGGATCTGTAGGTGCCTCAGTTTCCTCAAGTGCAGAAAGGGGTAACACAAGTATCAACAGTGAAAATTTAATGGGGGAATAAAATGAGTTAGTAATACGTCTAGCACTTGGAATAGGCTGGCACATAATAAGAGTTTTACAAGCTATTATAAATAGCTAATAAAGTTCTATTAGCAATTCTTTTTTCATTATTGTTACCCTCACTGCTGCTGCTGCTGTTGTCTTTGAACTCCTTAGTACCAGAGAAGAACTGGCATAGATTTGATGACCGTCAAGATTGCCATACAGAGGACTCTGTTCAGCATGGGAAGTTATCTACTTATGTTTTTGTCAATGCTGCAATTCTGTAAGACCATAACATATATTTCTGTGTCATTCCCACCAGGTACTTCCTCCTGTCTATACAAGGAACCTATGGGAAGTCTCTGATCGTAAAAGCTCAGAAAATTGACAAACTCCCCAAAGACAAAAGAGACCTAGAAATCCAGAGCTGGAGAAACAAACAGAGGCCAGCCCCTGTGCCTGGAGGGGCTCAATCCACCCTCCGCCCAGGGCCACGCCTCCCAGCACAGGACTTCCAAGCCAGCACACCAAAGGTCTCGTCCACAGCCACGCAGAAGCACATGGATGACTGGGCGCTCCACAGAGAGAGGTGCTGCAGAGACCACGTGGGGGGTGACCTGCACTCGGGAGACTCTGGGACCAGACTCGTGTCTGGAAAATACCTTCTGGAACTCAGTAAAGCAGAGGCACCTGGAGCCTACTTCAGTAGACAGATGAATGTGCCCCAGTCCTCAAAAAGGGGCAGCCATCGCAGGTCCCAGAGTGCACTGACCATCTGAGAGACCTGGGTGAGTCCTTACACACTTAGAGGGGTTCTCCAGTCACTGGGACCAGTCAGCTTCATGACATCAAGTACATGCAGTCTCGCTCTTTTCCCCCCCCACCAATCTAGATTGCTTTAGAGGATTTGACAAAAAAAAATAAAATAAAAAACCTCACACCCAAAACCTCTGGAAACCCATCGATGTCTACATTGCTCTCGGTGCCAGAAGGCAAACAACAAGGTTTTTGTAAAGAAACTGTTTCTGTTATATTAAGTTCTCCATTTTTTCAACCCAGAGACATTTTCCTGAACCTATAGATAAGTACAAGCTGTGACCTAATGCAACTGGATTTTAAGTTTCTAAAATTCCAAGAAGCCTACCAAACCAAGCCTTATCTAAGGATATGAAAACTTGTAGGTGTCAGACCATCACGATGCCTACCCCTCAATGCCAAGAGATAGCTGCATCATCTTGAGTTGTATTGCGATGAGGGCCACACCAAGATTAAGATTCCTTTCATCCATAAGGTTGAGTCAACTTTTTGTCATTAAGCCAAAGAAAATCACATCTACTTATGAAAACTAGATTTGAACTCAGGGTCACTGACACTTGTAAGGGCTGCAGGGTTACATCTGTAGTAAGAAGAGTGCCAACGGAAAATGGGTTCACCAGAAACTCTACATTTTAGCTACCAGATCATGTATCCATCCCACAGTCTGGAGAATCAGTCCAGTGGACATGGGCAGCAGTCTTTTCTTTTTTTTTAAAAAAAAATAAAAAAAAAACAAACCTCAAACTATTTTATGTATTTTTAAAATTCAATTCCCATCTTTATTTAGCTGGCATAAAAAGAAAGCTCTAATTCAGGAGTCTTAGCACATCTGCACTCCAAATAGAACCATATGATAGAGCAACTCTGAGACCAATTATATTTTAAAGGGAAAGACCAGCACTAAACCTTATTAATTCAGTTAATCTCAAAATATCACCACCTGGAAGACACTGGTGTCTGTTTCTGTTAAATGAAGGAGACTCATGGGGGAAAGAAGCATTTCATAAGACTACTTATCCCTAGAGGTCAAAAATGTAGGCCAAATTTTTTTTAAGATATCAAAACAATGTTTAAATTAAACAATAGATCATTAACTCCAACTTTAAGAGAAAGTAACTCTGTTATCAGCAAGGATAGCCTATCCTTTGTCTTTTAAATAAGTCAAGAAGGGCTACTGGGCCATTCCTCAGTAAGCCTAGATCAGGTGAAAGTATCAGCATGGTTCTTAGCATTCAAGAGACCAGTCATGAGTAGACCTAATTCTCAAATAACTCTTAATTAAGGATAACAACAAGACTCAAGATAGCAAACACCAGGCTGAGAGGGTCCTCTGATTAACAAAGCTGGACTGGAAAAGCCATTCATCGATTCGAGCAGGAGCCAATATTTAGGATCTCTAACATCACCTCTGCCACACCACGACATCAGCACTAGCCAGCTGGTGGGTATTCAGGTGATTCTTAACTGGTGGTGTAGTCTTGTAGAAAGTTGCTCTGTTAACTCAATTGCTGAGTCTCTGGTAGTTCGTACAATCTCCTCCAATGTGATTTATAGTCTCGGAAACCGATCCAAGTCAATGCATCCCAGAAAACAGAAAGGGAGTGGAGTCAGAACTCAAATCTCAGGAACAAACCTCCTTTCCTATGTGATTCCAGTTCATTTCTGAAACTCAACAAGAGCCTGGGGGCAACCAGCTTCAGGAAAGAACAGTTCAGCAACCTCAGGATATCTCTGAATCTTTTTCTTTGGTCTCTCTCTAGCCTCTCTAAGAGCCAGGAGCCTTTGGAACAGACTATCACACATTCAAATTAGCTTAGTACTGTCCTACTTTCCAATGCTGGCATAAGGTCTAAAAGAATACATTGTTAGTTTCCATAGACCCTGTTGCAACTCACCGTCACCCCATATATAACCAATGGGTGACAGGCTCTGCACTAGTCCCACAGTCATTGTGGGGGTCCATTGTTGCACCCACTGTCACTCTGCCTAGTTGAGGGTCTTACTCTTTTACACTGATCCTCTACATTAGTAAGCATGACTCTTTCTCCAGGGACTGGCCCCTCCTGATTACCTGTCCAAAGTACATGAGATGAAGTCTCACCGTCTTTGTTCCAAGGAGTATTCTGGCTGTACTTTTTCCAAGACACATTTGCTCGCTCTTTGGGCACTCCGTGCTTCATGCAGCATTCTATTGCAGTATTGTGTGGCAATGCTATAATGGTCCAGTTTTCACATACACATGAGACAATTGAAAATACAATAGCTTGAGTCTGGCACACTTTGTCCTCGAAGTAACATCTTTGTTCTTTAACACTTTAAAGAGGTGTTTTGCAGCAGATTTGCCAAGTACCATAAATCTATCGTTTGATTTCTTAACTGTTGCTTCCTTGGGTACCGATTGTGAATTCCAGTGCAATGAAATCCTTGAAAATGTCACTCGTTTCTCCATTTGTCATGACATTGGTTCAACTGTGAGGGTTTTTTTCATTTTTACTTTTTTTATGTTGAGGTGTCATGCACATTGAAACCTGCGGTCTTTGATCTTCATCAGTAAGTGCTCCAAGTCCTTTTCATTTTAAGCCAGCAAAAAAAATGTCATCTGCATAACGCAGGCTGCTGATGAGTCTTCCTCCAGTCCTGATGCTGCATTCTCATTTATGTAGTTCAGCTTCTCAGATAGGAATATTTTGCTCAGCGTTCAGACTGAATTAAGTGTGGTGAAAGGATACAGCCCTGATTCACTCTTCCTGATTCTAAGCTCTGTAACATCCTCTTGTTCTTTTTGAACAACTGTTTTTTGGTCTGTGAACAGATTCCAAATGTACACAGTTGGTTTTAACATCCTTAAAAAGAACACAAACAATTTTTCTTTCAGAGCTAGGAGAACCAGAGGTGATGGGGAGATGAGAGAAATATCTGACACCTCTACTGAACACCAAACCATGCTTTACCTACGGCTGCTGCTCTCTTAGTAAGGTGATCGACCAACTGTCCTGTTTGCCCAGGTCCTTTCCAGTCAAAGCACTGAAAACCCCACCTCTTGGGAAGGTCCTCAGTCCCAGGCAAGCCTAAGGCTGTCAACACTTCTTGCCCCTCTTTGTAAACCCAACTGTGACAACTTGCGTCTCCCTCAGGGGGGCAAAGCTGTAACAACTATTTCCCTATAACATAATGCTAATGATTGTATTTAGTGTGGTTTTTATACATAAATTATCTTTTACTGGTTGAGTGGAAATGTTGGAAGGAATATTAGAAGGCAAAAAGTAAATAAACATTGTTGTCCAGAGATGCCTGCCAACCTGAAGTTCTGATTCTTTATATTATGACCTGGATACGTTCTTATATATCCATTCATCCTTGTGGTTATTCACTCACCCAGCCACCCATGTATATAGCCACAAATTTTTATCAAACCCCTACTAAGTGTCTGGCTTACTTGATTCCACAAACAACACTCTTGGCACCAGCAACCAGGAAATTAAAAGAAGAATTACACTGGGGGAAGTCTGCTGTTAAGAGACCTCTCTAAAGCACCAAAGAGCAGCAATGTCACTCTGGAGACTAAGGTGTGCCTGATACAGTCCATGGTCTTTGCAATCATTTGCTATGCATCAGAAAGCTGGACAATGACTAGGGATGATAGAAGGAGAATTCATGCCTTTGAGCTGTGGTGCTGAAGAACGTTGTTGAATATACCATGGACTGCTAAGGGTGAAACCAGACTACTCCTTGGAGGCAAGGATTCGGAAACTTCATCTGACAATATTTTGAACATGTTGCAAGGAGGGACCAGTCCTTGGAGAGGAACATCATGCTTAGCAGTGTAGAGGGACAGCACAGGAGGGGAAGACCCTCTATGAGGTGGATTGATTCAGTGACTGGGGTAATGAGGGTAGGTGTGTCAGAAACAATGAGATTGGCACAAGATAGAACAGGGTTTAGGGCTGTTGTGCATAGAGTCACTATGAGTCACAGACAACTGAATGGCTCATAACAACAGGTGCCTGGTGAGGAACCCTCGTGGTACAATGTTTAAGTACTTGGCTGCTACCCAAAAAGTCAAGTGTGAATCTACCATCTACTTTGTGGAAGAAAAGATTGGGAAAATGCTCTCATGAAGATTTCAGCCTGGGAAATCCCATGACGCAGTTCTATTCAACAGTAAAGAATTGCTATAAGTCTGAATAGACTCAAAAGTACATAAGAACAACAGATGCTTGACCTCATGCTTGAAGCTATAAGGAATTCAACCCCTGTCTAATGGAAGTGTATAGTCTTGTTGGGCCTCCAAGGCACAGTTTCAGGACCACATCTGATCAAACTTGAGTTTGGAATCAGCCCAAAGAGTTGTGAGAAGAAGAAGTAGAAAATACAGATCCCTCTGTCTGAAACTCTTTCCTCTCTCCCGACAAGCCTGACATGAACTCCTGACTGACTTAGGTCCCTCTTTTGTTACTCACTTGAGGGTCACTGTACACACATTGTGGTAGACAATAAGGGTAAAAAGGACAAGAGACCTAGCCCTGTCCTTGGAGAAGTCAACACCTACATGAAGAGACAGACAGTATACAAGGAAACCAGTAAGTTTACCATACAAATTGCATACTATGAGAAGCAGCAGGAGTGCAGGGAAGGGAATTATTCCTGGGGCATCAGAGAAGGCCTCTCCCAGAAGAAGACATGTCAGCTGAGACCTTAACCATGAAAGTAAGACTGACGGGAAGGATCACGCTAGGTAGAAAGAACCTTTACACATAAAAGCTCTGGAAAAGAAAAGGAATCTAGCACATTCAAGAAGAATAGTTAGTGTGACTAGGACTTAGTGAACAGGAGGAAATGCCATGACTATATTAACAATAACAATTAGCTTATGGTGTGTTTGTTACTGGTCTGGAAACCCTGGGTGGTGCAAATGGCTAATATGCTCAGATGTTAATCTGAAGGTCAGAGCTGTGAGTCTATC